TTGCATCTGTTGCTTTGCTCCTGGCGGCTGCCTGTGTCGGGGGTGGCTGCCAACGCTGAGCACGGAGCTGGGGTGCTGGGTTAACCCACTTTTCCATCCCCCTGCCACGCAGACAAATTCAGGGAACCTCAACCCTCCCTCTGTCTTTTTTTTTTTTTTTTTCTCTCCAAGAGCTCGTGATTTATTAGGAACGAAATCAAATTATATTTTATCACCAGCCTGGGTAACAGAGGGCTGAAAGATTAAATTCCAGCATGACAGCCGGCGGTGAGGGAAGGGACGGGAATCATATCTCTGTTTGGTTACAGCGTGTTATTATCGGGCGCTGGGCTCTGAGAGACAAATTATGGTTTTCTTGAGGGAATCTTTATTTAATTTTTTTCTTTTTTTAACCTGCTGCAGCTGTCAGGGTGACTTGGAGTTAAATGACGGCTGTCTGTCCCCCCCAGTAAACAAGCTCCAGGCTGCAGGGTTGGCAGTTTTGCTGGTGTGGCTTGGATTTTGGAGAAAATCCGGGGACCTGAGGGTGGGTGCGTGTTGGTCCCTGGGGAAGTTTCCCCCCTCCGCAATGCGGGGAGGAGGACAGGGGTTTCACCTGCACCCCCAAACTTTGGCAGAGACTCTTCCCTCCCGCCTGCTGCCCTCCTCTCCTTCGCATCGAGGGGAGAAGGGCCCGCAGGGATGGAATGGAAATAAAATCACGCGGCCCAAATTCCTCCCCCCTGCTCCCCCAAAGGCTGCAGCCTTGGCGAGCCCACCGGGGAAGCGGGAGGAAGAACAAGGCGAGAGATTGCTGTGTGGAGGCGGTGAGCCTGCCGCCATCCTGGGGAATAAATTAGAATACGGCTCGGGAATAAATTAGCCGGATGGCGAGGAGGGGAGATTTGTTTCCTGGGGAAAGGAGCCTGCCTCTTCAGCAAGGTAGAGACACCTCCGGGGCTTGGATTTCAGAGCTGAGCCCATCTCTTTGAAGCTGCCTGGCTTGGTTCGCACGGCGGCATTGGGAGTTAAGAGGGGGTTATGGACGGAGAAGAAACTTAATTTCTCTCCCTCCGTGTCCATCCATCCGTCTATCTGTGCTTCCATCCGCCCGCTCCTCGCTCCAGCGAAAGCCATTAGGAATGACAAAGCACCTTTTTTGTTTTAAAGATGGGTCCCGGGAGCAGCAGGCAAATTGCTTGGTTCATGCATAATAAACCAGGCGTGGAAACACACCAAGTAATAGGCTACATTTGTAGGAAAACAAAATCGTTAAGCGAGCCTGTTTGCAGGGTTTTCTGGGGGAAAATAAATAAATAAATATATATATATTTAAAATAAAGCCAGGCTGGGTGCGGAGGAGCTGGCAAACCTCCCCAGCCCCTCCTGGCATCAGTTCCGGCTAAAAGCTTCGGTGAAATAGGTCAGTGGAGCCTGGTTTTGCTGGGCCCGGGGAAGGAGCTTGTCCCTGTAGCACCCATGTCCCCAACCCCGCTGGCCGTGCCACCACCGAGTCCCCAAGACCTTGCAGACCCCGGTCTGTCCCATGGTGGGGGGGGGTTGTCGCTCGCACCCACCCCATCACGATGTTCCTGCAGAACAAAGGCGACCCGCAGCCCCTTTTTTAACATTTATATTTATATATATATATAAAAAAATTAAATATATATAATATATCGTGTTTAAGACTAAAAATATAGTACATAATATTTAAAAAAAAGGAAAATGGAAAATAAAAAATGGGAGGTTGGGGCGGGGGGGGGGGTCACAGATACGTGTC